TATATACATACATATATTCTACTTACTACAAATATAATTGATTCTTTAGCTTGTTGCCTTTCTGTTATTTCTGTTAGTCCAGTCTAAAATTGACGCGAACTGTGAATTGGTGGAGTAATTCCAAGCATCTATGTTGTAACGAATAAAAAAAAAGACAGATCAGCGGACCCCACAATCCCATGGAGAACGAATCCACACCTAAGGACTTAAAAAAGGTTTCGTGTACTTTATAATTTGTAAATGCACTCATATACACTTTTAATTAATTTCGCAACAAAAGAAGAACATCGATTTCAGCGGCGTCAAAAGTTACAGCCGATATTAGAAATTTTAACGAAGTTTGTCTAGCAAAATTTCTAAACAAAACTTCTAACAAAATTATGTCGTTCTGAATCATTCTTCTTCGTTCGTTTGTTTACCCTTCGCATTTTTTTTTTAAATACTCTCTCCATAGCCTAAGTATTAGAACGTATTACCTTCAAATTGTATGGCTCTGGTGGCGCTTAACTGGTCGTTACTGCCGTGTACGTAAAGCCGCGGCGAAAAGAGCAGATAGTTAAGATCGGTAAGAAGGTGGAACATTTCTGTTGTGTGGCCACCTAAAATGAAGTTCACATCGGCACGAATGAATAGAGCCAATATCGCGCACGGTGTCATTTGCCTGCTAGTTTTTCTGTCTCTCTTTTGGTGAGTATGATAGAATTAGTAACGGAACATTAAGATAGTTAGGACCTATAATAAAGATAGTCAATAATTATAATAAAACAGAGACGAACAGGTCATAGTGCAATGTATAATAATAGTTCTGGCGTTAACATGTTTATTAAGTTATAAAAGAAAACATTTTTCCTTAAGGTAAATTATGTAAATACGCACATGTATACTTGCACAGGACAACGAGTATTCATGTTGCTTACGAATTAGCCAGACTTAACTTACCAGAGCCGAGAACGAACATTGCCTTACATGGCTTTTTCATATTTGGTTTGTATTTCGTATTTGACAAACGGAGAAACGTCAGGGTAATGCGAAATATGATGAAGCACAAGGCCCAAAGCATGTATTGCTCCCACCCACTGCGTAGAGCTTCCCACCAGGCCATTTCTTCGATGTCATCGAAGCCATTGTTTGAGTTTGGCGCTAATAGTAGAATTAAAAACAGAAAATCATGCACAGTTAAAACGATCAGTAGCAAGCTAAAAATGCAGTTCGTAGACTATGGGCAATGGAATGAAACAGAAACAAAATTACGATCAATAACGTGATGACTTCTTTTATTCGTTACGAAGACGCTCCTTTAAGAAAGCACACTTTCTTCTGTATTAATTTATTATTAACTAATGTTAAAAGGGTTTATAGTTATTTGAATCGTTGACAGGACTCGCCACAAGGATTTCAACGTACATAATTTAAGCTAACAATCGGAGTAACATGGAATTAATTAGCATTCTAAGCCAATTATATAACGACGTTTTTTCTTTATATCAGAATATTATTATTTTTAAAACAAGCAGATGTATTTTTAGGTAAGAAATAGTAAATAAAACGCTATTGAGCCGTTTATTCTTTCTTATCGAATTTGCTGTAGGTGAATTCCTCTAATATTTTTACGCTACGTTTAAGCTGGCATCAATGTAGATCATAGAATTTGTATCAACTTGAACGGGTCTGCTCGAGACATATAAAGTTTTGTCTGTAGTTATTTACATCACGCTGGCCTGTCTCATTTAATTGGCACAAAAACCTACCATACGCATGCCAACTAGAGATCATTGTTGCGTTTTTATGTGAGACCCTTTATTAAATCACTTTTGCATACACTACAAAAGTAAAAGCAGTCACAAATCTAATTAATTTGATCCTATTCAAGTCACTTACGTTCCAACGGTCGTTCACTATGAACGACAGGCTGGTCAGTTATTAAATCTCCATCCATGCTATAGGTTTTACGTAGACATACGATATGAAATGTTGAGCTCTAGCATCGCGTTTAATATTGAACAAAAAAATTACACTGTAATGGCCATTAAAATGACTCACTTCAGTTCAGACACCGGTCGCCCTCGGCTGCGTGAGGCCCCAATCGAACGCATCAGAGTGTCGCCATATTTGGATCACGAAAACAGCATCTCTTTACAGAGAAATTATTTTGTGAACTTGTAAGTCAGCTTTCCCACTCTATTTAGGTTACAACTCAGCCCTCTGCTTACGCGTTAATAGATTTCAACAAAATAGCAGCGAAATATGGTTGTGTTCTGCTTAAAATTTAACGTGCCCAATTTTCTCTAGCCTTCCATGCAATGCGTCTATTCAGCGCGGCCCTTTCTTTGTCTGGAGTCCAAGGATCACAATCGTCGACGAATATTTTTCAAGCAGACGACAGAGACCGTGTGTGTGTGTGTGTGCACGTCTGGTGTTCTCATAATTTGAGGCTTGAGGATGGTTGAGAACAAATCAAACTCGGTTTCTACAGAAAACCAAAAGAAGAATGATCCAAAGAAGCCTGCCGAGGCAAAGGAGCCTGAGCTGGTAAGTCTATATAGTGTATGAGTTCTCCTATGCAAGGGGCCGCCGCCTTTGAGTACTGTTCCTAGCAACACCCTACTTTGGCTACCGACATTTTGGGGTCCTGTCAGCTAGCAACATCGCACAAAGTTGCCGCATCATTGCCCCGTTGGGCATATGGGCGCCGACTTGGGTGGGCTAATACCCATTAGCCACTGAGTATCATCGATTTAAAAAAAATTCATCAGTAATTGGTTGGCAACACGTCTTCGTCTACAACGGATACATTGGCGGGCGGGGATTAATGTATAGTAACGCTTCAACTGGGAGTCAGCATAAGATGTTCGTTGCTTTAGCTGTTGGAGTATGAGAATGTCAAATCTTATTTCTAGTCATATTCGAACAGATTCCTATTGTTAGAGACTGGGGGCAATTCAGTAGCCTCTTATTCCGCTCTCTGTGTACGCTTAGCATACTGTATAGTATGATTATTATGGGACAAAAGCAGTGTACGGGAAAAGAGGTTCAGTGTGTATTTGGGGCGTTTTGCATCCTATATACGTGTGATTGCTTTAATAATTTTATGAAGACTTCTAGCAGTGCTATCAACCGAAAATCACACCCATTTGCATTCAGATGGACGTTAACGATGAGCTTTACAGAAGCCTGGAATCGGATAGAGAGAGAAAAAGTTGACCGGTTTGTAATGTTTGTCCCGACAACCATCAATTGGGTTCATATATTCTGAGGTCACTGTGTTTCCACCCACCCGTTATTTGTGCTACCAACATATTTACCCAAACTAAACTAATTTGCAAATAAAAGAAAATGTAGTAACGCTACAATATTAAGAAAATAAACATTTAGAATAAAAATGTCGTGCTATGGAAATCGAAGTACTAATCAAGCTTTTGGACGTATCTCTTCTTTAAGTGCCGTCTTGGCTTCAAATGTAGCTGTTGTTTACTTTCGATAGCGATGTTTATATGATATAGGAAAATCCAGGGATAAATTCGTTAAAGGTCTTAAACTTCATTCAAATTTTAATGTCATTCTTTTATATACAGCGTTTTGCGTTAACTTGCAGTAGTACAAATTCGTATATAAAAAAATATCAAATATTAAAATAAAATATATTTTTACGTTTATATAT